GTAAATTTTGCCCATAGGTTCATTTCCCATAGGCACCAATGAAATTTTAATTAATTTTGCTAATTTACCACATGCTTGGTGGTGAAGGAAAACATAGTGATGAAATCTGCATGTCTGAGAAATAAGAAAAACAAATATTTCGAAGACATGTGAAGTCCGCCAACACGCATTGGGGCAGTAGCGGACATTTCCTTGTTCTAAAACCCTCTCAGAAATGAGGAGGAGGCCTGTGCCCAGGATTGAAACGTATATAGGCTGCCACTTTTGCTTTTTTGTGCCTTTTTTAATGTAATCGAAATTGAATTAAATTTGTTTTAATTCTATTCTACTCTCAAAACCTAAAAACGAGACTGTAAAACCAGTGCGTGTTGCCAGTGATGACTTATGGATCTGAGACCTAGTCCTTCACTGCTGGCCGTATGAGGACACTCAAGGTCGCTCAGCGAGCTATGGAAAGGGCTCGGGGTTTCCTTGCGTGATAAACTTAAAAATGAGAATATCCGCAGTAGAACCAGAGTGACCAACATAGCTCAACGGATTAGTAAGTTGAAGTGGCAATGGGCCGGCCATAGATATAAGAACCGACAACCGATGGGGCAAAAATTTTTCAAGTGGTAGCCTCGTACTGGTAGGCGTAGAGTAGGGCGACCACCTACTAGATGGAGTGACGACCTGGTAGGACATGCAGGAAGTCCATTAATGCAGGCGGCTCAGGACCGTGCTTTGTGGCATTCCTTGGGGTAGACCTAAGTTCAGCAGTGGACTTGTGAAGGGCTGTAATGATGATGATAATGATGATTCTATTCTACTACTCCCATTATACTGAATCATTGCTTGGCCCCATAGTCAGATTACTGACCTTTAACTTTATATTCTGAATACTTAAAAGAAATTGTAAATAAATGGTCTAAGAATGAAAGAGAATATAGTACTCTTTCCCCTTACTCAAGCCGTGGAGCGTTACATCAAGCTCGTACCGAAGCTTGGACAAGGTGTTCTCAAACAATGATTCAGTATAATGGGAGTAGTAGAATAGAATCATCATCATCATCATCATTACAGCCCTTCACAAGTCCAAGTGATAAGCCTAAAATAAAGAAGCTCTACACTACACATCCTTCTTGTTTTACATTATACTGCGGTGGTTGCCGTTCAAAAAGTATGCACAACAAGTACGTAGTCGAAAATAATATATATTATGTACCAGAGACGAGCATGCAATGATATGTAAGCGTTTGACCTAAACAACATTCTTGTATTACACTGTTGAGTGATGACCGCTCAAAACATATGCGCAATACGTGTACCAACCCCGACGAAAGCTATGCATTCGAGAAAGTCAAAATAAAAAACATTAAATAAAAATAATAACGTACGTCTGGGTTTCGCTTCACACTACCTCTACTTAGTGACACGACTCACTAGAGAACCTTTCTTCGAGAGTGTCACTTACGAGTTTCATTCCCTGTCCAATGCCACTTCTGTAAATGGAGTGACTAGCTGATGTGGCGTCGATGTATACACGTGACTGAGGACTGTATTTTATTGAAGTCTTTAAGATGACCTACATTTTGCAGTGGATTTCAAATCATTAATTCTTTTCACAGTTTTTATCTTTAAAATGTTTTTTTTTAATTTCCCAAACATTTGTTTTTACAAATAGTTACTCTTCTCACGATTTTTCCTTACTGCGCCAAGCACGTGGTAAATTATCACTTTAAATTGCATTTAACAATTTGATTGATGCTAGTGAGTATGGGTACCAGTTTGCTCGAATTATAAAGTTCAGAAAAGAGATAAAAATACACGCAATATTACAGAATATTTCTAGTTCTATTACATTAGTACTACTTATTAGGATACTTTCAGTATGTAAACTAAAAAGTAAAGTAAATAAGCCTTTAAGTACATGTTCTACAACTAGACACAGGGCTGTATTTCTGACAGAGTTTTCGAGCAGTCCACTGAGTGGATGTATCATCGATTGCTTTTAGCGCACATTTTAACTTTAAAAAATTATCCAAAAAGGTATTATACATCATTCACAATTCTATATTATTAAAATAACAAAACCATGAAAACAAGAACGACGTTGTGGCTCGAGTTTCAACTACCTTAGTTTGGTACAAGTCTTGACAAATTTCGTCTTTTTGTGCCCGCTTTGTTTACGGGTATGCTATTTATATCACCTTCGAAGAACTTGTAAAATCATCTCCACTGGTAGTTTAAAAATCAACTTTAAACAATTTATTCAAACCTGTGGGAGCTACAATCCGTCGGCGGTCAAGTTCCCGTAGAAGCTCCTTGACACTGACAGATTTATAACCGTGTAGTAGAATTTTAAATTTACTTTCCAATTAATACGAAGATTTTTAATAAAAAAGGTTTTGAAAACACTTTTAACCTTATATTATGAAGTAAAAACTTTTTATTGGAAACAAGTCATTCCATATTAGTCTTCCGGGGTTATATTTTGATTTTTAACCGACGCATCTGCATTTTGATTCTTATTTGAGCATAAATGCAGATGTTTATGGGCCACAGCATCTATTTAACATCAGGTGGATTAGTCCACCTGATGGTTAATGGACAAACTAAACTAAACAGCTTCTAAACCACCATGAAAAAAACGGTGTTCGTCTCTGATGCGTAGGATGCGGGCCCTAAAAGGCGATGGTAGACAGGTTAGACTGTCCATATATACTTTACGGCCGTAGACTACACGTCCCTATTCCAGTCCCTAGTCCTTTCTCCAGTTAAGCAATCTTTTGACTGTTTTTAAGGACCTACTAACACCAAGGAATTTTGTTACGCAATCATTATTAGTATTTATAACTAAAATAAATAAATAATAAAAAGATGATATTAGGGGCGGGGCTGATAATAGGAGCATACACTATACGTTGCTCCAATGCGTGTTGGCAAACTTTACAACTCCTCTATTTCTTAAGTTAATTCTTTAAGTTTCCTTTCGATGTATTGTTTGTCACTGCCGAATACTTAGAAAATCAGCTCTAAAATTTAATTAACAATGATACTCGCAAAAACCGAACCACTGTAAAGTAAATGCTTATTATCTGCGCTACTTCTGCGTTTTAGTCTGTTATGCTTCCAGAAAATGAAATAAATTCAACTATAAAGAGTCTCACTAATGCACAGTTTTTGATTATTGACAATGTGAAAATAAATTATACATTATTCTGGGTAAAATTTATGCCATCTTAACTTTTATTTTCTTAACTCTTTAATTTTCTTCGCGTCGCTTTTAAGACAGACCACTATTATTTATTTTGTGGCTAGACGTGAAAGGACGGATATAGTAAACGTCACCAAACTTCTTCAACATTAATGTTGAGACGTGCTTAACTTTTTTAAATATTTTTTATAGAAGTACAAAATTCGCACAAAGTCCATCTGATAGTAAGTAGATACTGTGTTTGTTAGATACAACTTATACTTACATCTATCAACGATTAAGAATCAAAATTGCAAATACTACATAACTCCGGAGCACTAAGATAGACTGAACACAAAAAAGAGTTTATTTCAAAAATAAAAGATTCCTTTTTCCGTGGTAAACAAGCATTTGTAATTATGTCCTCTAGACCGAATTTCAGTCACGGTGGCTAGTCTCAACATGGACTAGCCATCTGCACAGGACAGATTTTATAGTGCCCGAGTGAACAGTCGCAGGAGCAACGGCTCTACGGGACGGAGTGAAATATCGCAAATTTATTAGGCTGTAGAGAATCTTAACAGGAAAGCCAGTAATGATTGAATCGAATCCGAGACCTTATGATCAGTAACCGCGTTTTCAACCACTAGACTAACTTGTTAACCTACTAGTCACTAGACCAGCTAATTAGCGTGCGAAAGTTGTGCTTTTAATTAGAGGCATAATAAATGAAGTTACCAGTTTCGATTAAAATTGTTAATACTCGTAACATAATATGTGTTTATTGTATAATTTATTACATGAATATATTGCATTAATTTTTTACGTGATGTAATTAAATGTACAAATACAAATATTGATTGAGATGTGCTTATTTTAATAATATTTTTTAAAAAAAATATTAACCATGTTATAAGTGGTAATCTTAAATTGCTTGTTACGAGTGGTTCACGCCAGTAGTCGAATGGCGGATTCACCCACGACCTTTTTGAGTTTGCGGTCCGCGCCCTGCCATTAATTAGGCTACTGTCGCTTTTATATATTTATTGTATATTGTACACCAATAATAGGGGTTCGAATCCCGGTTCGGACCAAAAAATCAATTATTAAGTTTTTCCGTCAAGAATTTTTCGGTTGCTGCCCGGAGTCAGGAAGTTGGTGGTGCCCCACCCCCGTGCCTCGGAAAGCACGTAAAGCCATTGGTTTTGCGCCTGATCTCTCTCCGGTCGTGTCGGTTTACCGTCCTATCGGATTATGAGAGTGAGAGAATAGAGAGTGCACCTGTGCTTGCGCATACAGTTACGCCCGAAATTAAGAATGTATCTCGAATCCAAGATTAACCACAATCTTGGATTGGGGCATGTCGTTCGATTGATCTTCAATCCGCATGCCAATAACTCAACTCGGCTATCCCAATTTTTTTTCGACGACAGATTGCAAGCAATCCGATCCCTCTTGACCGTTCCTTTTGATGAAAAATATCGATTGCATAAAACTATATTAAGTGTGTTTTAAAAATAAATCATTCACGTAACTACTTAAAAAATAGTTCATAATTATCTTTGTAAGTTAGAACGAGTAATATTATGTCTAAAAATTTACAGAAATTATAATTTCATAGTCTATTCTTGGTATTAAAACTATGACATTATTTAGCTAAAATGGAACGTATGATGTTAGGCGTCTTATGTTTGACATAGTTTGATTTTGACATTTGACAGATCATTTTGATTGCATTTGCGAGTTGCGACGAAAATTATTTCAGTGTATCAAACTTACAACAATATCATCTCTTGTTATAATATATATTAGTAATTACAGTAAAATGGATTCAGAAATCGTAAGTACTTATTGTTTTATATAATATGTTTCTAAGTTGTGCGCGTTTAAGTACTTTGTGACGCTTACTATTCCCGCCTTATTTGTAACATTGATGTTAATCATTATAATTTTCTTTTACTAGGTAAAAGGCAAACCTCTTACAAAAGAACAGACAAAGTCTTTGCTTGGACTAATAGAAGGTAGCAAAGTAATAACCACCAAAACAACCAACGCCACAAACAACAAACTCAAAACTGAAGAGTGGATTCGTTTGGCAGAGCGGTTCAATGTCACAGCTACGAATTGTCCAAGAACACCACAGCAGTTGCATTTGAAGTGGGAAAATTTAAAAAAGAACTCGCGCAAGCGCAGCACCCAAATAAGGATGAACCAAATTAAGGTTATCTACTTCTAACACATGTACATCTTTATTCGTAGTCTAAGACTTTTAATGGCATGTTGTAAAAAAATGTTAAATCTAATATTCTTATTGCAGACTGGTGGTGGTCCTGCCGATTATATACCTCCAGGTGACATATTAGACCGGGTGACCAGTCTATTAGAAAGTACAGTCAGTGGGTTTACTGTGCCTCTTGGGGGTGATAAGGAAATGGCTTGGTTTGATGTTTGTGGTGGTGCTGATGGTATAATTGGAATAAGTAGTGATGTTGAAAAAAATTGGAAATGTGACGGTGCAGACAGAACAAATAGTGGATTCAAGTGAAACCACAATCTCAACACCATTATCTAATGAAAAAGGTATTGAGACTGTGCCGCTGACTACCAAGTGCTGGATGTAGTTGACCAAAATTTAATAACTCCTAATAAAACCAAGAGGCTTACATTTGGTACACCTAGAGTAGATAATGGTTGTTTTGTCGATTTTTGATTTATTACTGATTAATGTTTCTTGTTTTTTTTACGTTCCTTACTTTCTTTAGATTTATGTAATACAATATTTATTAATTTAACCTTGTGGAGGATTATTTACGTAAGGCTTATTTAATTGCGTCGATGCAATCTATCACATCATTTATATCACAGGGAAATCAGACTGTCAATCATAATCATTTGTGAAAGATCTTTTCTTTATGAGATTGACTCTTTTATGCTAATAGTTATAATCTCATTAAAGTATCTTAACCTCCATACTGGGTTGGATATAATTGCTTTTTCTTCACACTGTGATCTTATAGATGAGATAACAGAATTTTATGAATACTGATGTCTTTGAAACAGCTAAATACAAACAAAATCCCATTATTGCATCCACAGTATTATATGTTAAGGTTTATGAAAAAAAAAGTAAGTGCACTTGTATTGATCTCACATTTACTTTGTTTTCCAGTGAAAAAGAAATTTAAGCCAGATGAGAACAGGACAGCGACGAACACTGCTATAGCTGAATATTATTCAGCGAAAAAACAATGCTTGAATGCCAAATTAAATAATATTAACTTAGAAAATGATTATTTAAAACTAAAAAATATAGAACTTACACTGAATAATGAAAAGCTTATGTTAGAGACTGAGAAATTAAAATTAGAATTAGAGAGGTTAAGAAAGCAATAATGTCTAGTGTAGTATAATAACTTTAATACTTAATTAGTCTGTAGCTTAGTAGTAGTAAATTTGAATATATAAATGATTGTGTAATTGTATTAAATTTAGGTAACTTTTGCATGTAAGTAGGTATTGTTTTCAGCTTATATATGGTCTTATTGACACAGTTGACGAAGCATTGTTTAAATGTAATAGTGATGAAGAATAAAATTATTACCTATAAAATTAAATGATTGTTTTCATCACCATTCTATTAATGTTTATTTTTATAATTATTTTGACTAAACCAATTTGACCCATTTTACGGCCTTTAATTTTTAAATAAAAAAAATTATGGGCATACAGTGAATTTCGGCATTTAACTTACAAATGACTGCGTTAAATACCTCAACTGAGATATTTTTAGCAAACAATTGTTTTTTCAGTATTATTTGTTGACACCTAAATTTTAATAATGCATATAATTATAAGGTCAAACTTATTTTGGACCAAGTTAAGCAATATTTAAAAATATTTGCATGAATTAAATAATCATTAAAATAAGTTGAATTTTAATTTATTCATTTATTGCATTCCCAATTACAAAAGAATAAAAAGTTAATGCTGTTAGGCTTTCTCTACTAGTCAACCCATAGTTCTATTTTAGAGAAGTAATTGTGTTAATATATATCCTTTATATCTTTTCAAATAAATTTTTGGAAAAAAAATATGAAATTGGGCAGTAATTGGATTAAGGTAGGCTTGTTCTTTTTGTAGCATGGGGTTTTCTTAGAATTAAAATTTAAACGTATGAACTTTTGACATCTTTGATTTATTATTTCAAATTTAAAAGGTTGAAAACTTCATATATAATAAAACAAACATTGATTTGAAAGTATTTAATTTATCTAAAATAATTATTTATAAGGGCTGTTCTTTCACTAACATTCTGAACTTCCATATAGTACACTTCTTCATTTATTTCCGCTGTTGGCAGCTCCACTTCTGAAGGAACTTCCTCTAAATTGTGGTTCCTACAAATATTGTGCAACACTGCGGTAGCTATTATTATTGCCTGAACCTTAGGCAATGATAAACGCAGTGTTAATGCCACAACAGGGAAGCGACACTTCCAGACACCAAATGTTCTGAGAAAAAGATGAATGTATATTAGAAAAAGCTAGTTACAAGATTTTTTATTTTTAAGCTATTGCATAGCTTCTATCGCGGGCCTTGAGTGCGGGAAAATCCAGAAATTTCGTAACGAAAAAAACCTCACGCTCTCCAACGGGCACGGAGGTGTGGCTTGAAGGCCGTGCATTGTCTAACGATGGTCTAACGTCGTTTCTTTTCCTCAGTCTTCGACACGGTGTTTGTGTATAAAGTGTTTTGAAATTTTGAATATGAATGAACAAAGTGCATTTATTATTAAGGCTGCTCTCTCGCAAAAAGCTTGAAAAAAAGCGTGCAGATGAACCAACTTTTCGTCGACACTTACAGAGAAATTACATATGAAAAAAATAGCTAGTAATCTACATGATCTGATACGTAATTTGGTTTAGCCATAATTTTTCTATCGGTGTCACATAATAAATAAAAAAATACCCAAATCACCTCCAAATCGTTGAGATGAAACCACTTTACTCCTTCATTGTTTATCAAAGGAATATAAAAAAAATATCTACTGCTTTGCAATACAAAATAAAATAATTTGGTTTGGTTACTTTTTAGAAATATGTATTATTTTTATGATAGTAAATTAAAAATGCGTCCCGATTAAATACTGCGTCTATATCACCCGCGCATTCGTCCACGAATTCAGTGCAGGGCGCATCGTGTTGTTAGGTGGACGTACGCCGCGTTGCGAGAGCTCAGCACTACGAAATAAAATCGTAAAATATTACTCCAAAAATTTAGTTTTGTTAATAGTGGAGTAGGTTTTTTCTGATTCTTGTTTAATAGTAGTGTTTTATAGTTATATTAATTGTACAGTTTTATTAATGTTTAAGTTTAAATTGTAAAACATGGGGTATAAGCAGAAACGATTGAAGAGAGGTCTAAAAAAATATTACAAACAAAAGGGTATACATTTATCAAGGTAAGTTTTATCTACATATTTCATAATATTAGACAGATGCTGTTTATAAAATACCTATATTACTGTGATTTCGCCACTCTGTGACGAGTCAAAGCTCGGCAAACGCAAGTGGCGGCAAGGCGCGGGCCCCGTCGTCGCATGCTGTTAGCGCATGTCTGAGAAATTAAAAAATATATATTTCGAAGAAATGTGAAGTTCGTCAACACGCATTGAGGCAGCGTGGCGGACATTTCCTTGCCTTAAAACCCTCTCAGAAATTAGAGGAGGCCTGTGCCCAGCAGTGGGACGTATATAGGCTGTAACTTTACTTTTTTTTACTTTTATAAATATGTTATTTTACCGACGAAAATTTAAAAGAAAAATAAAAAATAAGCAACCGACAACCTCCTAGGTCCCTAGGTGACTTGCGAGATGTCAGTGTAACAAAACAAAACGGCCTAGAAAAACAGACTTTCCAACTGATAGCTAAATCAGCACGCAACAATTTCATTGGTGCCAGTGGGGATCGAACCCGGGTTGCTCCCGTACTGTGATACCTATAAAGAGCGTTAACCATGTGAGCTACCACGGCTCTCAACGACATCGTTCCGTTCGTGTGCAGCGCTGAAGATAGCAGAGTAAAAAATTAGAGATTGTGGTGTTTGAAATTTGTCATCTGTGAGAGTGAATTTTATCTGTGTACTCTGTAACAAATAACTATATAGAAAAAAATCTGAAAATGATATTTCGCCATTTTTGTTTGTGTACTGGTAAGGAACTCGATCAAAAATTTGATAATTTTTCTGTTTTTATACGTTATTTCTAATGTTATTTTACATCAAATTAATTGTGAAGGTATTTTCTTTAGGAAATATGTTTCATTACGACGATTCAAAAACGTTTACATATAATAATTTACCTCGAAATTCACTATACGCGATTATCGTTTATTGATTATATTATGTTATTTAAAAAGTATTCCTATCAGTTTTGTGTTAAATGGATGCTAAATATAAAAGAATGCTTCAATATTGATAGCAATTTATAAACGAAATATCTGTTGAGATGTGTCTAGAAATTATTAATACTTATTTTTATTTATTTATTAAAATAATAAATAAATAAAAATAAGTATACATTTATCTATATTGAGTACTAGTTTTTCCCCGCGATCTCGCCCGCGTGGAATATGGATTTCATGGGTTTTAATTTTTTTGCGCGGAACCCTAATTCTTTTTCTAAAACAAAAGTAGTTCAAGTTATTCCTTATATCATCAGCTATCTGCCAGTGAAAGTCCCGTCAAAATAGATCCAGCTGTTTCGGAGATTAGCTGGAACAAACAGACAGACAGACAGACCGACAGACAGACAAAAATAGTACTTTCATGCATTTAATAAAAAGCTGTTATTTTAACATTACAAACAGACACTTCAATTTTATTTATTTGTAGATATAGATATAAGATATTATTCATATTGGTGTCATTTTAAAGGGAATATCATGTACTATTATAATAATAAAATAATTATGTGTTTATTAAAAACAACAATTTCAACGAAAATCAATGTTTATTAAGAAATTATTATTTTTTAATAAACATTGATTAAGTTTCATGAAGAGATATAAATCTATATAATCATCCGTTACTTGCGACAAACGAGCCGCCGTCACCTAATTTTTTTTTAACTGTAATGCTTTTTCACAAAGCAAAGGGCCAGATATCATTTGCCCAGTTGATCGTTTTTGTAAAAACCAACAATACAAAGCGTCTTCTAATTGCCAATTTACTCGCGGACATAGGTCCTTATGTCCGGGACGGGGGGTTTGTTAGCGCCTGATAGTAGATCGTCTTATCTCAAGCGGTGTGAAGCGACGATTAGTGAGTTGCAGGAGGGGGAGGCTAGCTGCATTTGTGCGCGCGGTCGGTCACCCCTGTTGGCATCGAGCCGAGCTAGGGAGCAGACGGCGGGGCTGGGCAGCACTCGGCCCGCCGCTAGGGCGCGCTCCTAGCTAGGCACGCGGCGCCTGCGCCGATGACGTTCTCCGGTCGCATTATAGGGGTCGCGAGAGTTTTTGCGCGAAGCCGGGTTGTTCATACTCGTATATTGAAAGTCTCCTTGTTTTGTCTTAGACTTATGTTAATAGAGCGTGCCATTTGAATTTAAAGACAATTAATTGGACAATAAATAATAAGTGACAAATCTTGCCGTGGAGCGTGGAACTGAGTAGTTGCGCGTCTTGTTAATATAATTGCCGTACGGCCGCCCTGGTGTATGTACTGCGCGAACCTGAGTTTTTTTGCGACGCGGTCCGGTGATACAGTATTTTTCACAAATAGTGAGTTCGTTATAACGCGGGTTCGGTTAAATCTGGTTGAATTTGATTGGATTAACCTAATGAAAATTGACTTAACTATAATTAATGAGTGATAAACGAGCGTAATTTCCTAGACTCTGAAGTTTCTGTGACGGCTTGCCCCTTCGATGGATCCCATACTGGAATAGAGGTGAAGCCTTGGGATCTGCTGTTCGGCAACCAGCGGGAAATCAGGTTACATAATATAACACGTACTGAGCATAACACTATCACACACATATACTTACACCTGAATCTTCCTAGGTTTGACCCTACGTCGACGAAATAGGTAAGTCTTGTTTAGTTCCTTTTTAACCGCTATTGTCTCATATTCCACAAGCCATTTAGGTCGACCTCCTGTTACTCGTCGAGTTGAACCCCTGGTGGGCCTGGGTTCTACGATCTTTGCCCGGGTAACTAGAGAAAATAATAAATAAATAAAAATAAGTATACATTTATCTATATTGAGTACTAGTTATTCCCCGCGATCTCGCCCGCGTGGAATATGGATTTCATGGGTTTTAATTTTTTTTGCGCGGAACCCTAATTCTTTTTCTAAAACAAAAGTAGTTCAAGTTATTCCTTATATCATCAGCTATCTGCCAGTGAAAGTCCCGTCAAAATAGATCCAGCTGTTTCGGAGATTAGCTGGAACAAACAGACAGACAGACAGACAGACCGACAGACAGACAAAAAATTTAAAAATTGTGTTTTTATTACTAGTACTTTCATATGCATTTAATAAAAAGCTGTTATTTTAACATTACAAACAGACACTTCAATTTTATTTATTTGTAAATATAGATATGAGATATTATTCATATTGGTGTCATTTTAAAGGGAATATCATGTACTATTATAATAATAAAATAATTGATAGGACTATGACACCACTAAGGGAAGTGAAATTTTGATATAGGTAAATTCATGTCTTTATCTTGAATTTGATTGCTCAAAAAACACGATAGTATAATTTTGACTCGATCATAATTATTTGCGAAAACACCTCTAAAAAACCACTATAGTAGAAATTACAACGAAATTACTTAATCTGTATGCTTCGAAATCACTCAAATATATTCATGACATTAATATTCATAATTTACTTGCTCATTATTTTGATTACTCAAATCAATAATTTTTACAAAAATATTTTAAAGTTTCTGAGAATTTCTAAGTGCTTTTAATCGTCGCGGGCGCTACGCTATTTTAGACCTTATGAGGGCGTTTTATCAAGTTTTAAGCTATTGCATAGCTTCTATCGCGGGCTTGGCGCGGGGACCGAATCCAGAAATTCCGTAACGAAAAAACCTCACGCTCCCCACTCCGATGGGCACGGAGGTGTGGCTTGAAGGCCGTGCATTGTCTAACGTCGTTTCTTTTCGGCAGTCTTCGACACGGTGTTTGTGTGCGTGCAACTAGACGTATTGTACGACTCTACGAAGCTCGCACGAATCGAGACGAGCTGCTCCGAAATCGGACGAATACATAAGCAGCTGTTTATGAGAAAGTATATAGGTGTATAGGTATTTACGTACAACAGCGAATAGCTGTACTTGTAAAATTTGTGTATAAAGTGTTTTGAATATGAATGAACAAAGTGCATTTATTATTTACTTATTTAATAAAAGAAAAAAATTTGTTTTCTTATCGGTCACCACGCTCAAAAAGTGTAACTTGAATTAATATCAAAGAAAGAGAAATACTACATAAATAAAATAAATAAATAATTATAATTGCATAAGTTGATACAAAATGCTATGCAATAGCTCTACCGCGGCAGTCCCCGAGTGCCACACGTCTTTTTTTATAAATATGAAATAATATGGTAGAATTAAGAACCTCCTTCTTTTAAAATACCTAATACTTGTTAGACATAAACAAAGTAGTTACCTGTGGCCGTGGAAGGAAAATGGGAGATCTCCCACCGGGCAAGGTGTTATGCCCAGGGAGTGGCCAACGCTCCGTGTGATAGTTCGGAGATGTTCTATATATACTGTTTCTGATTCGGAATGTTGATATCGTGATTTAGGCTTCGGTGTATTTCGCTTGTGGTGCGACGACAGCGCCGCCACATACCTTTCAATAACATTCCTAGTCTTTATGTGTGCTTCATTATAGCGCTGTTCAGCTTCAGTAACAGGATTTATAAGAGGTGTTAACAAATATGGCCCGTTTGGATAAGCACTGTCACCAAGCATCCAGCGGTTACCAAACAGACCCGCATCACATTGTGCTGTAAATAAAGACATATTTAATTAAATTATTATAGCATTGAAATATAAGAAAAGCTAACAAAACTATTAAACAAATCAGAAACCTCTAAGAATTGAGTTGTTAAATATTGTGGCATCATGTGTAGAGCCTGGCCAACGGGCATACACATTCATGAATATCAAATCAGCATCACAGATGGTTTGGACATTTAAGGAAAAGTAACCTTTACGATTCCTAAATTCTTCACCAATTACATGACCTAGAAGAAAACATAGTTAGTGTATCTGTTTATAGAATAAGAGTGACAAACTAGTATGTTCACCTGTTCACCTGGTGGTAAGAAGATGCTGTTACAGATCTAAGTTTGTTCTACATTTAAGATTAAAATATAGATGCATTGTCACGCTTGAGTTGTAATACCCGTTATTATTTTACACAGCATATTTAACATTGGTATTCTGTGGGAGTGTAGTTCTTTCCCAATCGAGCCAACCCATTTGTAGTATATGTTAATGCATAGCCATACCACATACCTAATATAGTAAAATAGTGTTTTATAAATGATATTTATGATAAGAAAACAATTTTACTCCATAAATATTAGGAAATACATGGCGATTGGATTAGTATATGATCAATCAATTGCGGCAAGAACTCTAGGAAATCCTTCAATATGATAGAATTTTTCAGCACTATGTTGGTGTACAGAAATGTATTCATCATACAAGTTAGCAATTTCTGATGATATATCACGGACTATTCTGCCAGCTGTCGATATAGACTCCTACAAAGTCAGCTACAGAAATTAGCATCGTGCCTAATGCATAAAATCGTAGTGTTCGTAAAAGTTGATGGAGTGGTGAAACTCCATTGTTCCTAAAAATTTAAAACTATTACTGTATACCCACACAATACAATGTTTTGAAATTAAATTGCTTTGTGTTTAATTTAATGTTTTACATCATTTCCAAAACTATTTACCTTATTGAGGTTACACGAATAAACGGCATCAATTACATTAAAAGTGATGTGAAAGCAGGTTTTGATAAACTAAATCTAAACGTAAACTCGGCATCATCCAGGCTCTGCATGTAGTTAACTCTTCTAATTTTTCGTGAAGAAGCGCGGTGTCTATCCTCAGCATCCTTATCAGTATCCCAATCGGATAACTGAGCCAGCACATCCAAATCACCGTCATCACTATCACTAGAAAATATCGATATTTCCATTTTCTTTCTTTAGTAAAATCAACGCTGTGACGAAATCCCCGGTATTTCTTGGATTGCAATCTGCGATCGTTTACACCGGCCAAAAAAAATGTTAAAATGGAGGCACTGGACAGATAGGTTATTAACATGCACAAACTGTCATTTTCGAACAGAGGCCAATCGTTATTCTGTGATCCGCCCTCTATAGGATAGATTGATTTTAAAGATAGTAAATTCAATGCACAGATCGTTTATTGGCACGCTTTACCCATAAAATGGATTAAAATACCAATCTAAGATAGCAAAAATTGGATAGGGATTGATTATTAATTTCGGGCGTTAGGCACTATAATCCTGTCCTGCGCCGATGGCTAGCCTCCGTTGAGGCAGGCTGCCGTGGCCGAAGTTCGGTCTAGAGGACATTATTAATACAGAAAAACGAGTTGAGTTTAATCTTAAGTATAATATGTTCAACAGAAGAGAATACATAAAAATCTGGTACGGGTTTTTATGATTTAATAAATATCATGTGATGGCAAAATATCATACCATTTAGGCCATTGCAAATCGTAACGAGTGGCTATGAAAAAGCCTACAGAGACCCCATAGCCAACAATACATTGCGATGTATTGTTGGCTATACTGTCTAGTATACGCGAGATATAAAATCTACCATGAAATGCATGGTACTCGGGGCATTTTTCTAAAGACCTATATCCAGTATTTATTAAAAAGTTGATGATTACATTTTGACAGCCCAATATTTTCTAAGAAAATTCGTTAAAACACCGGTTTCACATAATCAATTTAATAATACGGCCAATAAATTATAAAATTTTTATTTTAACCAATTCATATAAAATACGAAAATTTCTTTAAATATCTATTAAGAAAACACTTATAAACGTTTAACCACCACGTCCGTTATTTCCACTTAATGACAGAAGAAGTAGTTTGACGTTTTACAAGAAGTCGTGGATCAATGTTTTCAACCCTCGTCACGTCACGAGAAAGTGTTTTTCTTCAATTATGATAAAATTATCCATAAAATTTTTACTAACACTAAATTTTTCATATAAAATTACTCGGAGTTAAGGTTAAGTTCTCGCCGTAATTTCATAGTACGTGAGTTATCCTGATTCGATCCCTACTCTAATAAACGTAATAATTAATTAAAATCTTTGGTTCTAATTTACCACGTGTTCAGCGGTGAAGGACAATATCGTCGAAACGTGTACAAAGGACAACATGAGGAAACCTGCATGTCTGAGGAATAAAAATATTTCGAAAACCAAATCCAGTGCGTGTTGGTGGAATTCACATAACAACACCACTACGCCGAAAATTCCACCAACACGCACTGGAGCAGCGCTACGAACTAATTTCTTTATAACCCTCTCAGGAATAACATTTATATATAGGCTGTCGAAGTGCTGACTTTAGGTTACTTTATTACTATTTATAGTTAACCAAAGCTAAGAAATACCTTTTGACGTTTCACATTAATCATTCAGTAATAACTTTACACAAGCGTACTCACACGATTTAAAATAACCTTTTACGTAAATCCGAAGAATTATAAAGTTATCTATATTTCTTTACAACGTGTATAGTTTTTTATCACTCATTTAAATTTGAATGTTTCAAACAAAGCAAAATATTAAAAAATAACCGGTATCAACTTTTTTTACTTGACGTCGTTTCAATGATATGTCGCTATGTATATTACCGTAGTGTTTGGATGATTAAAATTCATTGTTATGCGAATAATCGGCAAAAATATTCAAATAATCGGTTAAAGTATTCAGATAATCGAATCATTATTTTTTTAATGTATTATTTGTTTCATTTAATTTTTATTTATAAAATTCCTTAATTACATGAATCATGAATAAAACAAGCTTTAAATTTGTGTAGGCTAAAAAAACTCATATACAAGGCCGCACTGAAAAAACCACTACGAAATTTCAATATCCGGAGCTTACTGTGCATAATTTTGTGAATTTGTGTTTGTCTTCTTATTTTGTGACTCGGCTTTAACTTTTTGGACTGTTTCTTCTATATTCGTTGAAACATGTGCCCATGTCATAAAAGATCATTGGACAAAAGTGGTAGAAAAAAAAAACAAAAAAATTATTATGGATGACTTTGATAGAGACATTAATTTTGATTGCATTATTGAAAAACAAATTATAATTAATCTAAACTACGACAACTCAACTAGTTGTACTGAAAGTGATTGAATAAATTTATGTTTAATCTAGTTTTAATCATAATTTTTTATAATTGTGCCTCTAGAAATAAGCAGTAACAACAAATACGTAGAAACTAATACACCTTGTGTTTTAAATTATGCGTTTTTAATTTATTCTGGTACTATTCAAATCAAACTGTAAATGATTAACAATTCTAAATAATCGATATCGATTTTTTTTAGAATCTAATCTTGTACGTTCCAAATTTTTGATTGGCATGCCTGGTCCGGTGCAATAAGTCTGACAGCTGTCAAAATGTATTTCTTAGATTTGCTTGGCTATAGTGAGTAAGTTTCAACAAAAGAAGTTACTGAGGTTGCCTGTTGTTTTATATTAACGTATCTTTAACAAATATTATGTATTAACGAATCAAACAAAAATTGAGATTCTTACAATATAGAAACGGTCATGATTGCTTTGCGAGTATATTGAAGTTATACATTTATATTAAAAGCCTAAAAGTCTTTATTGGGATTAAAATATCACATATCTATATCCATACATATACCAATATACATATAAATAAAATTGATGTATTTATCTGTACCTAATATCGAAAATCGAAATATATGCCTTCTATTGAAGCTAAGATGGTTATTTTGATACCAGTATGGCATGAATAGCGATTATTAATGTTTTTGTTTGTCTGTCTGTCAGTCTGTCCAGGGTAACCTTCGGAATGGCCGAACCGATTGTGATGAAAATTCATGAACTACAATAGAGAGCAATACCAGGAGTAATCGGGTTATATTTCAATTGTATTACGTGTAGATTTTTTTAAACAAATTATAGATAAAATAATTAAATGCTAATGATTATCTGAAATTTAATAACATTAAATTGATAGATTTATCTGGCGATGCCAGGCGCGTCTCTAATCCAAAATATTGACACGACGAATACATTTGTCTCGGTCTTCAGTCTCTGTCTCGACTCGACCCCCACCTTAACTAGAATTACAGAACGGAAAAATTCTACGGCTATTTGGTAACACCTCTACTTGATCGTATATCACTCATGCATCACTTCTGCTCTAGCATTTGGCATTCGCAATGCAATAAAGTACAAAACAAACGAAATAAAAACTTAATATCATAATATGCAATAATAATGATTTCTTATATTTACGCGAACATTGCACATGATTAAAACTACTTTTACGGATTTTGTCGCGTTTATTTTTATTTTTTACTTTTTATTTTTTAATTCCCGACGTTTCGGGCGCTTTCCAGCACCCATGGTCACGAGGGACTGAGATGACTGACGTCCCGATGTCATTGTTAAACCCGGAGTACCTTCAGCTTTTTTTAATTATTGTTTATGGTCCGATCTATGCAAAATGAACTGACTATGTCCTGAGGTCTTGCAGTGGTATGCTTGGGTTTAGTTTTAATTTTATTGATTATAGGATCCCAAGCAGGTGGTAGTACCCAGCCTCCTTCTCTATTGAAATTAGGATGTTTTTTAATTTCAATAGCCTCACGTATCATCCTTGGTAGGAATCGGTGTTCTTTCGCGAGGATTTGTGGTCTATCAAATCTGATGTAATGGTTGGGGCCGTCTAGGATATGATCACAAACTGCAGACTTCCCGGAACGTTGATGCTTCACATCAGCTATATGTTCTTTTACGCGGGTTCTAATTGATCTTTTGGTTTGTCCTATATAAGAGAGACCACATTCACAATCAAGCTTGTACACTCCTGCATCT